AAACAGTGGCCATTAATACAAAAAAAAAAAAAAAATCTAACAGCCTTACAAATAAACGTAATAAGTTAACATTAGGAATAATCAAATATTAGTACAAATGTTGTTTATACTCAGTTTATTGTTAAGTTTAACTTTATACCGCGTTTATTTGTAATACATGCTATCTAATTTGTAAATATTAGACAGTATATCATTGTAAATTTAAAACATTACTTTAAGTTAGGAACAGTAATAAAGGCTTATTTTACTTTGTCTTGTCTCGTCTCGTCTCGTTTCGTTTCGTTTCGTTTCGTTTCGTTTCGTTTCGTTTCGTTTCGTTTTATTTTGTTTTGCTTTGTTTTGTTTTGTTTTTTTTTTTTTTGATGTTTTGTTTTATTTTTATTCTTTTTTATTTTATAAGGTCTATAAGAGTACTTACGACTCAAGTAATGGTTGACGATATCTTGTGGGGGTGAGGCCGGGGGTGGGGTAGGGGGTGGCGCGCTGCGAAGCTCCGGGGTGGGCGGCGGCAAACGAAGCAGCTGCAAGTTGCGTTTGCTCATCGGTGACGCCACATCTGTAGCCTGCTTGTGAGAGCTGGACTTCACCGGAGTTGATATATCCGTTTCCATTAGAAACTGGAAAAAACAAAGTATATTATCAGTTATGAATACTTTTCTGATGACGGTACTAAAATTAAGTATGAGGAGTAATAATTGTAACGCTTGCTAAGTACAGACTACTTTAATGACGTCACGTTATGTTGTCATGCTGCAATACATAACAGAAACTATAAATATTTCTCTAAACTGCGACTAAAACTGATAAAGCTTCGTTCCTTCCTGTTTCCGCAACCCAATGCAATTTAAAACTATTTATTCGTCTCTTTCCTAAAATGACTATTTACATATATTTTTTTTAAAGTTCACATATATTATGGTACTAATTCAGAAGATTTGTTAATCTATGTTGTTTATAATCTGACCTTTTTCTCTTTGGATTCCTATTGTTTACAATAATGTCTTTATACTTCAAGCTGTAATAAACGTTAAATCTTTTCCATGTTAATTAAATCCCACAAGTTTTTATTGATACCTCATTTTCCGGTAACGCTCTCCCAGCTTCCACGCTGCGCAGCAACCAACGCGCGGAGAGCACGGGCGCGGCGGGCAGCGCGCGCGAGGCGTGCGCCGCGGCGGAACGCGAGCCCGCGACTGCGTGCGTGACGCGCTCGCCCGGCCCGTCGTACCGCACGCCGCCGCACCGCGACACGCACGCCGCCGCGCGCTCGCGGCACACGCCCTCCACACCGCACACCCATATCTAATTAAAACAAACTTTTTCTTTGCATGTCGTGTTATTAGGACATATCAGCACGCCACTTATTGTAATGTGTAAAAAAAACTGAGGGGCTCAGAACCTACTCTAAGTAAAGGGTTACTAGGACTTAGTCAACCACACTGGCCTAGTGCGTTTGACTTCACATATATCTTTAAATTTCTTCGCCGGTATGTGCAGGTTACATCACGTTTTTTTTCTCGGTAAGAACGTCGAGAAAATTATGTATATAATAAATTTCGAAAATTGCATTGGTATATGAATATGACGGGATTCGAAACCAAGAACTGCATATTACAAGAGCTTAACCGTTGAGCCGCCGACTCTCTCGTTGTTTCTCTCCAACTCCATTTCTCAGAAAATAGTGGCTTCTAGTGTAATTTCTTTAATACTAAATTTATGTAAAGAATGCACTTTACTCTGTAATGTGTAAGAAATAAAATAGCAAATCAAAATGACCGTGTTCCTACAAACAATTCATACTTACACAAAAACCATCAAAAACAGGTCCAGCCTTTTTCAAACAGCTCATATCGAATTTCTCAAATTCAGAAATAATTTCCTTGTCGACATCACTCAATCTTTTGCTTTCTTGTGACAACTGAAAAAAAAAATGAACTCGATTATCGGTTATCGATTATCAAGTCAATATATAATACACTAGCTTTGTACGCGACTCTGTCCGCATGCAATTTAAAAAAAATAATAAAGAAGGGGAAAAATACAGCCAAAGTCACTCCCAGATAAATAACCTTTCTAACGGTGAAAGAATTTTTAAAATCGGTCCAGTAGTTTTTGAGCCTATTCATTACAAACAAACAAAGTTTTCCTCTTTATAATATTAGTAAATGTAAATAATTTTAATTAAACAGTAATTAATTACCTTTCCTCTCCCAGATAATGTGGTGACATCAGCAGATCTAGTCTCATCAACAAAGTTACTAGGTGGTCTAGAATTTGTGATCCTTGAGAAATTAAGACCTGAAATACAATATTACGTGATAACCAGATAAAAGATTTTTCTTAAAATCTACCGCAAAAAGCAATTATCATTGATTTTCCACTACTATCTTTGCTTAACATGTTAAGAGTAAATTCTAGAAACAATCTAAACATAACGTAAACGGTCTCATGCTATCTTGCCCATATGCTCATTCTATCTTTATCGCACAGCACGGTACTAGGTACAAAAAAAGATTGGATTATCATTTACAATATAATGTGAAATTCAAAAATATAGTCTATGTTCTCAACGATTACGTAGCTTTATTACGGTTAAAGATTTTTTAAATTGGCTATGTAGTTTTTGAGTTGTTTTAATACATACAAAAATACAAATTTTTCACCCTATAATATTAAAGTATAGAAGAATGAATGGTATATTTTTTTCTGACCCTACTACACCACTTTGTATTGGACGCCATTTTCATATTTCTCTATCCGGTAACTATGTTCCAATATATGCAAAAAAATATTCCCTACTTACTCATATCGGGTAAGCGGTGTTCAGCGAGCGGGGAGGAGGTGGAGGCCGCCAGCACCCTGTACTGAGCGGCGGGCAGGGCCGCGCCGCGCGCCGCGCTGTCCCGCACCCAGCGCGGCAGCACGCACGCCTTGCCGTACTCCAACGCCGCCTTGTACTTCTCACTGCCCACCCCCTCTCTGATACGTACAAATCTTACTAAATATACATAATCATACAAATATTGTGAATGCGAAAGTTTAGATGGATGGATGGATGTTTGAATTATGAATTATTTAATTCGTAGTTGGCAAAACGGATACCATGTACTTAAAAAAAACTTTTACAGTTATGCTCGCCTGTACAACCAACCTTCAATATGTATTCATTGTAAACTAGCTTTCGCCCCTGTTTCCGTCCGCGCGGAATTAAAAAACAAAAGCAAGTAGTCTATGTGTTAATATAGACTATCCTCTACATCTATGCCAAATTTCATTGAGATCCCTTCAGCTGTTAAGGCTACAAACTCTAAAAAACATCCATCCATCTAAACTTTCGCATTTATAATATTAGTAAGATAAGATTGTTTCCCCTGTGTACAAAGTGTAAATAAAATAAAACAAATAACTCACTTGTTGAGTACCACAACATCTGTGGTCTCACTTTGGAATACTCCGGAGAAAATCCCACCGTTATCATTGATTAATGTCGTGATCAAATGCTTCTCTTTCTTACTGAGACCAGATGTGGTCACATTTAAGTTGTAGAACGCTGGCAAGAGATGTTCGTTGAAATCTGCTGAAGATCCATTGATGTTGTATTTAAGGGAAGCTGACCAAACCGCTTCAATCCAACTCTCTTTCATTATTGGTATACCTTTCTTCACTGATTGCTGGAATGAGAAGAAATAGACAACTTAATACAAGTATTTATACTCATATAATAAAGCGTAAACACACTTCTTTGTTGCCTAAGATGTCAGCAATTACTGCATATTTTTGAATAATTATTTTTTTAACAAAAAGCCCTACGCTTACGTCACGCTTTAGGCTATATATTTTCACGCCATTAAACTTAGGGAGTAAACGTATTGGATAAAAACGCTAATGTAGGAAAGGGACCATAACCTACAAGCTGCCAACATTAAGGAAGCAAGGATGTCATGCATTTGAATTTTGGCATTTGACAAATATAAGCAATAAAATAAAGTGATTATAATTTCATGTGAATGAAGACGCATAGGAACAGCTAGTATCTATTAAACTATAAGTTATTTAAAGGTAACAATAATGCCCGATGGCTAGCCCTAAAGACTTTTGAGTAAAAAATGAATTAAAAGGTATCTCTTATGATAATAAACATATGTAAACAAGTGCAACAGTTAATGTTGTATGATAATTAGGGTTGTAACGGAGGCCATTTTAACGGAAGCGGATGCGGAGGCGAAGGGCTTCACCTCTGCAGAAGCGGAGGTTAACGGAAGCAGAAGCGGAGGTCAATAAAATATTAATTGCGATTTTTTAAAACATATAAAACTAAAACTACATTAATTTATAACTCCACATAAGAAAAAACGGAAGCGGAAGCGGATGCGGAGTTAAAATTTATTGCGGAAGCGGAGTTCCGTTTAAACCCTAATAATAATCAAAACTCATTAAAAACAGGTGACAGACAGGCAGGCGGCCAGCCGCAAAATAATTTAGCCAAAACAACAAGGTAACAGTTTTCGTTACTTGATTTAAAAAATACTCACAATATACTTATCAGAAATGACATTATCAGCCACAAGATGTGTGGTATCTTCTGTCAATTCTGGCCTGTAAATGCCACCCATCCAATGTACTTTCTGTTGTATATTTTCCTGAAATTGACAACAATTTGACAAAATTGACAAACAAAACAAAAAAAATAACTAACTGTTGCTTGCGACTTTTTCCATGTGAATTTAAAAAAATACAAAAATGACTATGTTACTCACAGATAAATTACCTTTCTAATGGTAAAATATATTTTAAAATCGGCCCAGTTGTTTTTGAGATATTTTAATACATATAAAAATGCAAATCTTTCCTCCTTTTATTATTACAGATTAAAATTAAATGTCCATACTAATATCATAAATATGTTAATTTGAATGGATGGATAGATGTTTGTTACCATGTATCTTAAAGAACGCTGAATTTTGCTGAAATTTGGCAAAAAATTAGAAAAGCACGTAGGCTATATTTTTTTTTAATTCCCATATGGATGTTGTAATAAAATGCTATTGTGATTATGTTGAGGCCTTACCTTTTTTGATTTAGTAAGTCCACTAGCGGTTACAATGAGACCTCTCATAGCTATTGTGTAAATTGGCCCTGGGCCCTGTGGTATTGGTGCCCCTTCTATTAATGAGCACGAGAAACACCTTGGTCCCACTATCCTTAAAAATATAGAAGAGTGGTTGTCAGTTAACTGTTTTTTAATAACTATGAGACAAAAGATTTGGCTGATCATGACTCTTGTTAGTATTGCACTGTTATTACTTGGAATGTGATGAGGCATGTTTTTTTGTGCATGCGACCAGCATTCATTAACTAAAAGACATTATCAGGTCAAAAATAAAGAATTGTAAATAGTGATTTTCTGTTTTTTTTTTTTACTTTATTAATTAGAATTTGATGGATAAGTGTCGTAAAGTAGACTTTTTAAGTTTAGTGATTACTAAATCTTTGGAACACTTTGTAGCCATCTTATGTGTAGAAATTACAGTAAAATAATAATTTGCATTTTGGATTACTTACAAGCATTTTGTAGCTTTAAGTTTCTGATATATTTCTCCCTCAAATTGAGATAAAATAAAAACATCTCTCTTAGTTAGATTTTGAAATTCATTGAAACTCTTTTCATGTACCCATGTTGCTTTTAAGCCTTCACCAATGTGTGGTTCACATGTCTGCAATAAAAAGGAATGAAAATGAGAAAAATATAAATGCAATATAAAAATCTGCTTGGATTATAGATTTATCTTTTTATCGTGTAAAAAGGGAGAGGGTAGCTGTTTTTTTTTTATTTTTAGGTGGCTACAGTAGTGAAGACCCATGTATCTTGTAATCTTGCAAATAGGAAAAACTTGAACAATTACATTGCCCTCAGGACAACCTGTAGGTTGATCTTGTAATATATAAAGTTAAGCTCTTGGCTAGGTACTCAATCATTGAAAAATTCAAATACTTTTATAACATTTCTCATAAGTTCAGGTGCAAGGTAAAGCCAATGTACTGCCACACTTACAGTAAATGCAAGTTTCATGTCTTCGCAGCAGTCATCTTCAGAGACACATTCTTTTGGTATTACGAATCTAACATTTATTTCTTCGCTCATTTTCTTCTTGAAAAATACTTTTTATAATTGAAATCTAACTCGCGCGCAAACATCAATTCATGATTTTGTTTACATCTGTCATCCGTCAGTGTCAGTTATATATTTAGGCAAAGAGTGAAGACGACTACGTAATGGCACAGAGCACCAAGTGAACCAGTTCTTTAAAAATCCAAAATCCATGACCAATCAAATCACTTAAACATCTGTGCCAATCGATGTGACAGATTTGACAGATCGATTTTTTTAACAACTTACCCACAGAGTACTTTGTAACATACTGAAATAGAGACCAATCTTCGGCCTAAAATTGGGTAACACGAAGAAAAGCGCCATCTGTATTTCATA